GAGAAATGCCTGCCTCGGAGTTTTTACTTGGAGTTGGGGACTTTCTGGAACACTGACAGAAATATCATGTGACAGCAATGTGACGCAGCAAGTTTGACATCTGGGCTCTAAGGGATTTCAATATTGAAAACATTCCAGAGATCAGGTGTCACTGCTGAGAAGTCCTGTCTACAAGCAACTACAAAATTAGATTTGTCAGTCATGACACATGCAACAGGATCTTTTTTGATGAGTATAATTATCAGATTTGTAATGAGAAATGTAATGCTGTACATGTAATGCTATTGGATTCCAATAACAAAGGTTACCCCAGGAACCCTTCCATACTATAAATAGAGTGAAAACTCCTATAAATAAGAGCTCTTCTATTCTGTAGAATAGAAAAGCCCCTAAATTCTCATATTATCAGGAAATACCTCAGTGTACCTCAGATGCTCTCCATCTCAAAAATCAGCTAAATGTAGTGAAGAATGTCAACAAAGTGTTGTAGCCTCTACGCGGCCTGTGAAGTTGGTGGCTGATTTGGACAGCGAGGACGCTGGTGTGGTGCTGCGTCAGCAGCCTGTGCAGCTGGCACTCGAGTCTGACAATGAGGCTGGAGAAGATGTGGTGCCAGAGGCGGGAATTAGCCATGGCCTTCAGAACCTCCAGAAGCTCCCTTAAGTGAAGAGGATGAAGAGGAGGAGCCTCTTCTCAATGCACGAGCGCGCAGAGCTGCCAAAAGGCAGAAGTGGCTCCTCAGGAGGAGGTGTCCTCGAGAGTAAGGCTTGGGGCTAATTGGCCACTCCCTTAGCCTATTTAAGGAGGAACGCCGACTGAAGCAATTTGCAGGGAACAACTTAGTTCATATACCTTCGTGCCTTGATCTTAGTTCTTTGCAAATTGCTTCTGGGCTTTCTGCCAACCATAGTAATATTAAGATTATTTATTCTTTGGATTCTTGCAAACTGTTAAGAAAATTAATTAACAGCCTTTGTTTGAAGAAAAAACTGATTTTATTTTAGTAAACTAAGGTTTGTACAGACTTTGTGTGTGTGCTGCGTTCTTTGGGGTCCGTAACTCGGGCAGAACACAAAGTCAGTTGAATCGAGTCCCCTTTTGTATGTTTTCATTATGGTGATGGGTCACTGGTTTATATTCTATATTTCATATTTACATTTCCTGTATGACCCGACATTATGTTTGTGTGGAAGGTGTTGGTGTACGTTGTGCGCCACCCACATGGTTGATTTGTGCAGCCTTATAAATTCAGCAATAAATCAATAGAGTAAAACAGGGCACAAAGAGGAGAGGTTGTGTTTTTTTGGGGGGGGGTTTTTTTTTTTTGAGCTCCTCATTTTGCCTACATATAAGTGCATTTTATGCTTTATGCTTTAAGTTCACATATGTGCATCCAGGAAAATATTCAGAGGAAGGAAAGCAATTGACAATCACTTTCCTGAAACAGAAGTGTGGGATGGCACAGAAGCAGAACCATTGTCCAATGGGAGGTTGTGGCAGCTTGCAATGACTTTTTTGAAAAAAATGTGTTTAAATTCAAGCATGACTTTTGGAAGAATAGATAATGATATGTCAGACAAGGGCTGGGTTAGCTGACCTATAACGTTCCATCCAATTTGATTGTTCTCCAGTAGTTCTGTATTCTACTTAGTTGTTGGCATTCTCTTATTTTAGAGTCCAATTAAAATGCTGAAAAGCATAACAGACATTGGCAGAAGGGATTGCCTTTACACAGGTACAAATATATATATATATATATATATGCATCATCTCATTCTCTAGGTGCTTTCTTTTGTCTGACCTTTGCAGGACAGGGACATTTATAATAGGAACAGAATATGATTGATAATTAATGTTTTATGGATGACAGAAATAGTGACATTAGACTGATTTTAGAACTATGTTTTATTAATGAGAATTAAAATCATTTCTGTCGCAAGAAGCCCATATAGGAATGAGGATTAAAAAATGGAATGGGAAAAAAAAAACCCACACTAATTAGCTCAAGTTGTTTTTCAATATGGCTCTGCTTAGGTATCTAGGAAAAGGATAAAGAGATAAGATCTGGCGTTAATTCTATGTGATCTGGGTTTCTGCCTCCCCCTCTTTTCTGAATGGCTATAGTATTCTCTAGAAATGCTGGAAACCTAATGTTTTGCCCAAAACCTAGATTTTGTTTGGTAGTCTGCAGGAAGACTGGGTTAAGACTGTTATGTGGAATGGAGCATTTTGGGATGTTCACTTAGGCTGTGAAAGTAGCAAGGAAAACTTTAGGTTGTTGCCTTTGAGTAAGTGATTATTTTGTGAGTGGCCATATTAATCATGATGGCATCTTTATGACAATGCTGACAATGTGCTTTCAAAATTCTAAGTGAGATGTTTCTATCATTTCACTGTTCTCTAGCTGCTCACTTCTAGGATGTGGGTACAGAGCCTGGATAGCTCTGCAGACTAAGCACTGTAATTTAACACCAGCCATCTGCAATTAAAGTAAGTTCGAATCTTGCCAGGGTCAAGGTTGACTCAGCCTTCCATCCTTTCTAAGGTAGGTAAATTGAGGACCCAGTTTGTGGGGGCAATAAGCTGACTTTGTATAAAATATACAAAAAGTATGAAGGCTATTGCTTAATGCAGTGTAAGCCGCCCTGAGTCTCTGGAGAAGGGTGGCATATAAATCAAATTAAAAAAAAATCACTCCTCATATGACCTGCTTGTTTTGAGTCCATTGATATGGATATTGTTTTGAGGTTCGTGGAAAATCCTTGGTCAAGTCAACCATCTAAAGAGACACATTATTTACTTAGCTTTCCCTAGCTCCCTTAACAATTTCTGTTACAGTTTTCAGAAAGTTAGCTGCTTTAGACTTTTCCAGCAAGAGCAGTAAATAGTCCCAATACACCTTAAAACTAATCAAAATATTATTGCACAAGCTTCTGCAGATAATAGTCCTGTTCATCAGATGCCCAGGATATAATCCAGAAAAAGAAATATTTTATATAAACAATAATGTTTAGTGGGAGGGAAGCTGAGAGCAGGGAGGAAAGGGTTAAACAAGATGAGAAAATCGGTGAGAATTGCTCATAGTGACTTTTAATACAGCAGTAGTTAGGTGTGATTCTGACATTCTTGCTTTGAAGACCTGGTTAACATATGTAGTATAATTAGGAACTTTGGTCTTTGTTTAATGCATGAAAATTGTGTTAAATCTTCTAATGAATTGTAACTGGGTAGTATCAGACTTCACATTTTCTGTTCTCTATAACTGCCACCTCAGTTCTCTGCTTGTAGTGTAAGTATAACATAGCAAAAGGCAACTTCCAAAAATCAGTGGAGAAGGGGAGATCAGTTTCACTGAACACTTTGTCTCTAACCTCAAGGTCACTCTCCTTGAGGAAAGAAATTACAAAATCCAAATTACTTCTGAAGCAATTGAAGTAGAATATGCTAATTTTAATATCACTTCTTCTAGCCTTCCCTGTCTCTTGTTGTATTGTTAGAATTAGTATACAGAGCTGTGTGGCTAAACCATTCTATCTTTTTAAAGGCACAGTATTTGTGCTAAAACAGGGGTGTCAAACTTGATTTCATTGAGGGCCACATCAGGGTTGTGTGTGACCAGGGGTGGGCATGGCCAACTCGATGTCACTTGTATCGGGGGCACCTCTGGTGGCCAAATGTTAAGGTAGGACTTCCCTCATACCCTCCCTCACTCTCATTATAATCTCCTTCCTTCCTTCCTTCCTTCCTTCCTTCCTTCCTTCCTTCCTTCCTTCCTTCCTTCCTTCCTTCCTTCCTTCTTTTCATTCCCTCTTCCTTCTCCTTTCTTCTTCCTTCCTCTCTTTCCTTATTTTTCCTTCCTTGCTCTCCTCCCATCTTTCCTTCTTTTTCTTTGTGTTTCCTCTTCCCCTTTCTCCTTTCCTGTCCCTTCTCGCATGCTCAAATTCAAAAGGGAAAATATTTCTTTTTTTGGTTTGCTTTTAGCTTGTTTTGATAGCCCTCTGCCAGCAAAAATGGAGCTCTGGGGGGACCATACACACATTCTGAGCTCCGTTTTCACTGGCAGAGGTATCGCGGGCTGGTCCTTTGATGTTTCCAGGCTGGTCCTGTGGGCCAGTTTTAAGCATCCCGCAGACTGCATCTGGCCTGTAGGCTTTGACTTTGACATCCCTATGCTAAAAGAAGGGGTACAGTGTTGCCAGGGAATCTGAAGAAATATTCACTGTTTTGAAATATATTTTTGTCCACTTCATTAAAGCAGGGAATATAACCTCATTTTTATGTACCACAATCTCTGATTAAAATATGTAATTAATGATAGCTGGTAAACAATGGGAAAAACATAGAAATAAGTGATCTTATTACCAATTTTAGTGCAAAAAGCCTTGCGCATATGCACAAACATACTCCCAGGTATTGCTATATCTATGCTTAAAGGACAACTGCATATTTTAGCTGCAAACCACAATGCTGTGCCAATTACAAAGCAGAGGTGAGGAAGTGTATGTGCCTGTTAATGTGGTTAAATGTCAGGAAGGTAATTACAGAAGGTGACATTTATGGGACTATGCTGGACATCATTATTCTTTTGTGATTATTGCATTTTCCAACCTGTTGCTTAGCATGGAATAGATATTTTACAAACAGCAATCTGGACATGGAAAAAAAAAATCCTCCCCCCCCAAAAAAAAGGTGATGGGGGATATAACAACAACTCTATTAGCCAAAAAGTAATTTGTGTTCATCTTTCTTGACCTTTCTGTCATCTGTAGATAATTATTGCAAAGCCCTGAATATCTGTTTCACTAATGCTATTTACTAGATTAAAAAGATCTTGGAACTGAATCTTGGAAAAGGTAACATGAGTAAGTTCATCCAATTTGTGGCAAATTTTATTGCTATTTTAATTGCCTAGTAAATTGTTTTCAGCACACAAAATAATTGCATAAAAGGGATGCGAACATCAAATATGCTTTTTTCGCCCGCCCCACCCTCAAACTTACATGCAAACTGAAGCTTTGCTTTCCTGCTCAGAATCGTTCCAAATGAATTTGTGACCAAACACTGGTATGTTCCAATATCCTGTTTCTTATGTGGATTATTGATTGCCAAGCTGCCTCCAACCAGCCTGTAGTGATAACTCATGCTAAGATCAATATCTGTGCCATTTTGCTTCCACCTTTGAGGGGGAAAAAAATCAAATTATACTTATAATTTACAGAGGCTATTCAGGTTTCATTTTTATGTAGTTGCTGTAACATACCTGCAACAATGAAAAGCACAGTTAAAATATTAGAATATTGTATCGTATTTCACAGCAGACTAATTTTTATATCCATCTTGTAAATTTCACTGTAAATTTTATGGTCTGAAAAACTTTCTTTTGAATAGTGCATTCTATGCAAACAGCTAAATGTCTTCAAAAAATAATAACAACTTATTCTTGTCATCCAATCTATATATTTAAACAGCAGAATGCCACTGCATTCTTTTCTTTTATATTATAAAAGTACCTGGAAATACTCTATATTTTACAGCCCATGCTACTAATATAATAAATTTGCTTGTAATAAAGATTTCAGAGATCTAACTCAGAACAAAATATACTTCAAAAGGCAGGAAGGAAGCAAGAAAGGGATGTTTATATCATTTGAGATTGATAATATAATAATGATAACACTGTTATTTTAAAACATGATCTGTCTCCCTTAGCCTGTTAGAAAGAAAATGAATCATGGCTGCAACATATCACAACTATTTACAAATATCAAAATAAATTATGTTCCATACATAACAATATTTTCTACAAGAATAATAATAATAATACTTTAGGTAGGTTAGCCATTTCTTTTCATGAAAAAATATGTTACCTAAAATCAAGTCTACTGTATTTGGGCAACAATATTCCACACAAGCACTGATTAGAAATTATTAAACTTGGTTGTATTTTGTACATCAAATTTTGTTACCATCCAGATATGATACCCTTTCTTAAGAACTCTGCAGATATAGAACTGAAGACTCTAGTCCCAAACTCAAGTTAGATTTGCCTTGGCCTTCTGGTTGAATTCTTTTCATAGAACGACAATCCAAAAGTTTTAGATAAACAACTCTTTTCTTGTGGGGAAGAGGGGGTTGAAAATGAATATTAGCATTTGCATTAGTCATAGAAAATTGTCAGAAAGAGCCAATTGTATGATAAATATGGCAATGACAACAAACAATCTAAATTAGTACAAAAATCTAGCTAATCATATTTTTCATAGGAGTAATAATAACACGCTAGCTATCTGTTGTAGAGAAAAAACAAGTTATCTAAAAATAGCTGTCTCTGTATCCACATTCCATACAATCACTCAATAGAAATAAATAATTAAAATAGTCTATATCTTCTGCTTCTTCAGATTTTTGTTCTGTTCAGTTTAAGCAGAGTTTAAACATGTTGAGACCCAATGACAATGTTGACTTTAATTACATAAATTCATACTTCAGATTTTTTTTTTCTTTTTGAAAATAGCAGTTAAACTTTGAGGGAGTAAAGAAAGTGATTGGCAATTTGGGTTTAGATCAATTTATTTCCTTTGGGCATTTCAGTTGTTGTAAGAGGAAATTAGTTTTCCTAAATCTGCCAAATGGCAGTATAGGTTAAGCAGAATGTATAGTGGCTGTGCTGTGAATTAACTTTATTTTCTTGGAGTGCCCTTATTCTATACAAGTGTCTTAAATCCAAGGTAGCATTAGTGAAAACAAGTAATGTTTATAGAGGATAATTTGCATGCCCTGTTTCCAAAACTTGATTGTCAAATATAGTTTGACGCTTGGAAAATATTACGTATAAATCTAACTCCATCAGGGTGTTATTGCTTATTGTATTTGTTTTTGGGTGTGGGATAGGAGTTGTGGAAATTTTGTCTGTCATTACCATAAGGCAAGATGCCATAAGATAAAGCTTTTTTGCTTTGCTTGAATTCCTCCTTGTATCTCAGTCTACCACTGGAGAAATGATTTTAGTAGGAGTTGTAATGGAGATGTACTGTATTTGGTACTCCTGTTTTTGTGAGAAGCAGATGAAGAAGAGACTTCACTGAGAGAACCATCTATTTCCTCCCTTTGAATGTGAAACATATTTAATATACATTATATGGGTTGAAAATTTATTTTGTGATTTATATTCTGACAAGATCTTTCCAATGGAAATGGAAACAAAACCAGAGTAAATTTAAATTAGATTACCTTGTCAATTTGTCAGACTACATATGAAGTTTAATTGGTATAAAATATCTGACCTGACTCCCCTGAAAAATAAATAATTAAATAATCAGTAATGCTTAATGTGAAGGACTTTTTTTTTTAACAACAAAACCATTTGTATAGATATCTATGCATGAAAAAGTAATTCAGAGGCTGAATGGAATTTCAGAAAGGCTTAGCTAAAGGCCTTTTAGATAAATACATATTTCCCCCCCCCCCCAAAATGAATGAAACTGAATGGATCAATTGAACAACATCAATTTAATTCTATAAACAGTTGCTTATAGTTCAGAAACATTTCTTAGACCAGTCTTTCAGAGGTTTTTGTCTTTATACAGTCATATGATATCAGGCAGGGTCTTGCTAGCTGGCTATTGCTGTTCATTTTAACTCTTCGATTCTTATGTTCTTTATCTAATTTCAGATTTTTATCAGGTCTAGTGGACCTGTTGGGTATTCTGTATCATTTCATAACTCAATTCTCTGGATTTCATTTTATTTTTCCCTCACCATCCATTTAAATCTATATACAATATAAGTCCTCTGGATCCAAAAGTTTCTAATGCTGGAAACACTGGTAGTTAATTTGCCAGCTCACTTTAATTTCTGAATCAATCACTGAAATAACTGCTGTCATCATTACATGGTTCCCAATTAAACCCTATAATTGTTTCTCAACACAGATGCAAAGTTGTTGGCTTACTTGCAGCAAATGAATTTTTCACAGTGTCCCATAATCATTCTAATCACACAGTGTGATTATTATTAAACTGTGCATATAGATAAGGAACTCAGCTCCTGGTTATGGTCTTCTCTTAATTAATATGTTTCAATCAATGAAGGAAAGCTATTAATGGATGCATATGATTGCCAGGTGAGTCTTTAATCAGATCATGCATACCCTGATGAATTACTTAAAATTCATCAAGAAACAAAAACTTGGAAATTATTTGGAAAAACATGTACAGAGTAATTATTTTAGAATGGCTTTAAAATGCAAGTATAAAATTGTTCTGGTATTTGTGCAAAACATGAAAGTCAAAGAATGTGTGAGCATTCAATATATGTCATGGAGACAGCCACTTATACTGATTCTACTTCATAAATCTTCTCCAATAAACAAGTTCCTCAGAGACATGGAGGGTTCTAGTTGCATTTCAGCTAAAATGACTAGAATTCCCCTTAATGACTCTGAGGTAGTACATGATGATCAAGAATTGAAGGGATGAGCATTGGTCCATGAGCCTATAACAGTCTACTAGGAATATTCTTATCCAATTGGTCTTGTGGGTTGGCTTTCCCATTTAGGGACATGGTTTTAAAGAGTGGAATTTTGGCCCCGTTCAGATTGGATAGGCTTCTTTTCATAGCTCAGATTAAGCCTGCAGATCAGAGACTCCCCAGTGCTACTCTATGTCATTTCATTATCATTCCAAATAGAGAATGTACTCCAAATTGAGTGAGTACAACATTAGATCAAGAAGACAAAATCTATCCTCTTTGGCATATCTGGTCTTGAGCAATTGGATGAAGCTGGAGAAAACCCAGTACAAACACTGCTAAGAGAACAAAATATTTAAAACTGATACTGTCGTAGCTACATTCCATAGCAATAAATGTATCATTTTAGTAATACTGTATCCTTAATTTCAAGGGTAAAAAGTTCTACCAAAACTTTCAAGTTCAAGTCCTTCCTTCCTTCCTTCCTTCCTTCCTTCCTTCCTTCCTTCCTTCCTTCCTTCCTTCCTTCCTTCCATAATAGATCTCAATCTCAAGGAACTTTTATTATAAAATTTGATATAGGGAAAACAATGTTGAGGGATAGGTGTAATGACCAAACTTTTGACCATTTCTTAAATAGAATAGATAAGGAGTGTCAAACATGCAGCATCCCATTTTTGTCATGTGACGTATTGCAACTTTTCCCCCCCTTCGCTAAACCGGGGTGGGCATGGCCAGCATATGATGCATCTGGCCCCTCAAGTTTGACAGATAATTTTAATTAAATGTATTTTTAATCAAAGCTATTTAACAAGTGTGGCTCCAGTCCTGTGGATATGAATTCAGTAGTAACATTTTGTGGATAATTAGGATCATGTGCTAGAACTAGCATGGCAACCTAGATCTAAGGAGACATTTCCTGACACTTAGAACAATTGATCAGTAGAACGACTTGTCTCCAGAAGTTGTGGGTGCTCCAACATTGGAGGTTTTTAAGAGGAGATTGGACAACTATTTGTCTGAAATGGTATAGGGTTTCCTGTCTCTGAGCAGAGGGATTGGATTAGAAGACCTCCAAAATCCCTTCTAAGTCTATCATTCTATTCTATTCTAAATCCAATTATTTCTACACAGTCTTAAGGATTTGGATGTTTGTGAGGAAATATCCATAATGGTGTGATTTTTTGTTGTCTCAGATTTTCTGTATGTTATATAAACAATGGAGCAGTATCAATTTACATTTTCAGAATAATATAAGTTTTAAAAACATAACATCACTAGCTGGAACTGACAGCATTCTAATTTAGTGTCAGTAAAACATATAAAAAGACATTAAATAAGTGTTTTCTGATAAAATCAGAAAATAAAATAGCTGTGCTATCTATTCTAGTAACTAACAAGCAAGCAAAGTTTGTGTCACCTTAAAAATAAATAAATAAATAAATAAATAAATAAATAAATAAATAAATAAACAAATAAATATACCTGTGTTTCTTTATTCTACATTCTCATCTGCCTCTTATGCAATATGTCTGTTTTTTATATTTCTTATTGTAAATACTCATGTTTGGGATAAACCCCCAGGTTATCATGCCATGCGATACCATACCATACCATACCATACCATACCATACCATACCATACCATACCATACCATACCATACCACACCCGTACCCGTACCCGTACCCATACCCATACCCATACCCATACCCATTTTATTTTAACTGCTTGCTATTCATTTGAAAATTATGAAGTTTTGTCATTAGACTCAATAACAGTCAAATAATAACATATATAGAAGATAACTTACCGATACCGTAGCAAGGGAGAACCTTTTGCTGTACAATTCAAAAGCACTTCTGATTTTTCTGAATTCTCTGAATGTATGACATCAGATGGCTCTTGAATAAAAACAGGACCATGATGAATTTGTTCATCTATGATACAAAACATATTAAACAGATTTAAAACATAATACTTCACTTAAAATTCAGAATGTATCTGGTTTTGTACCTTCCAACCAGACCTTAGATATCTTTTCTATACTGATAGTTTCTTGCAAAGTATTCTATTTTAATGAGTTCTACATGAAAAAACTAAACAGTTTTGAGATACCTAAATTTTTTTTCTCTATTCAAAAGCAGCTAATATGGCATTCATCATTAACAAAGCTCTATGTAATAACAATAACAATACCCCAAAGTGGAAAGTATCCTTTCCTTCCTTCCTTGAGGGGCTTTTAACCCATAACCACAGACCTGCAGTCATAGTGGCCGCAACAGTTTTTCAAAATGTTTGGAACACCTCTATTTTTAGAAATGGACCATTCTGGTTGTGAATAGCTATTGTTTTCCCATCAATAAGAGTGTATGCAGCATCGCACTTACGTAAGTTATTTGGTGTTTTCTGTAGCGGCGTTTGAATTTGAATTGCAGTCATTTTGACCGCAGATCTTTGTTAACATATATATTCTTTATAACGTCGGGGCCACGTTTTCCACCAAAAAGGGTACGATTTGGTGACCCAAACTTCGAAGAAACTGTTTTAACATGATATGAAGAAGCAGAGAGTGATCTGAGTGAAGTGGAATCAGATTGCCACAAAAATTTTGTAATGGACAATGAGGGACCTGCCACCGCCACCGATTATGACATCAGCAATGATGAAGCTCCTGATAAAATTGATGACCAGGTACAATTTATGTCCTGCAATAATTTATATGGCAAGAACAAATTCAAATGATCTTCTGCACCTTTTGGAAGCAATAGATCCAGAACCACTAGTCACAATATTGTGCAATTACCTGGACTACGGCCAGTAGCTAGAGCGGTCATTATGACCTCATGTCTGTAATAGCATAGCCAAAATAGTACATCTATGGTTAAGGGTTAACTTAACCAGCCATGTGTCAAGATATCCATCCAGTGTGAGCTTAAATACAATTTAAATATACAACGTTTATGTGCCCTTAATGTTCACCTATCACCTTGCTGCTTTATTGTCAAGGCTGTAAAAACATAAGGTACTCTGTGCCTTTCATTTATTTCAAAATCTTATGAGGTGAATTTGCTTTCAGTTTTTCCCACATAGTCTGCAGGCAATTTCCTCTTCCCATACAAGTGCAAACATTTCATGCCTGATTAATAATAACAACTCATTTCTTGAAGATTTGTGTGGGGTTTATTTACATAATAAAGGTAAGGAAATGCACTTGCTTTTAGCCTTGATTCAGAACTGTAGGATGCTTGTTGCCTTTATGTTGCCTATATCTGACTAGTGTAGAATGATCCTTCAAGAAATTATTGTAAACCATAGTAAGTGGATTACCATAACAAAACAAACTGAATAGGACTAGACAGATATAATAGTGAAGATTGCTGTGACCAAAAAAATCCATGTTACTAAAGTGTCACGTTTCTTTCTTCTATATGTCTTTAATTGAGGCCATTTACTTCCAACAGCATCTATAGCACTCTATAGGACAACAGTGTAAATCAGCTTTAAGGGCAATCCAATTTAAGAGTGTACAGTTATTAAATAATAAAATATTATATATGGATTTTATTTATTTACTGTGGGGTCCTTGGTGCTCTCTGAGCTTCATGGTTTTTTTGCAGACATTCCATTACTCAACTAGGTAACATTATCAGTGTATTTACTTACTTACTTACTTATTTACTTAACGTACTTATTCAGACATTTATATGGCTGCCCACCTCACAGGTGATTCTGAGTCACTTACATTGAGTACAGTGTACTCAGATCTACAGCAATCTGACCAATGCATTGTCTCTGCTCCTTCCTTCACCAGTATTGGCTGTCCACCATTTCTTGAATGCAAAAAGAGATATTATCCTCCACTCCATCTATCTCCCACTCTTTCCCTCTCTTTCCCGCTCTCTACCTCCCTCTCCCTCTCTCTTCAGTGTTTGGCCTCCAGTGAATATATAAAGCCATTTCATTATGGCCTCCTTTTCTTAGCTGGTTGGCAGCTTCCTTTTTTATTTGTTTCTTCCAGTTCATCCTGCAATGGTTATGAAGACCAGAGTGTTTAATATCACCTGGCTTCCATTTTGTCCCTGCCTCTTAGAGGTGCACACCTTACATTTATCATTACTTCTCCTATTGGTTTTCTTTTTGATTTGTGTCCTCACAGGGTGAATAATGCTCTACATTTTTTAACCATGTTTTGCCCACTGCAAATGATTTCCTTTTGTCCTTCTTCCTCTCCTTTTCCAATGTTTTTTAAAAAAATATTTGAGGAACAACTCAGACATGTTAAAACAAAGTTACAAACCTTCAGTGAATGCTACTTTGCTTCTACAAAGCTGAAGCATCATGCTGAAAATTGATTAGCAGCTAAATCTGAGAATTAAATGGAAGGCTGGTATATGGAAAAAACTGCAGGCCAGGACCTGTGTGTGGCCCATAACTACACTTTTCAAAGTCTCTGATATTCCCACATCAATGAGATTCAAATTTCCAGATGCCTTTGGATATGTTTATGAAATTAGCTGGCAATAAAAAAAAATGTATTTCTTAAAGTGGGATTAATTGTTCCTTTTGGGGTTATTTTAACAGGCCAAATCTTCATCCTTGAATTAAATGATGAAGTACCACGAAGCTCATTTTAAGCAAGCAATAACGTAGAATGCTTTGAAATGTGTTTGAATATTAGTAACTCGGGTTGGTTGCTAGGCTGTTGGTTTGAGCTCCAAGCGTGGCAATTTGGTTGCAAACGGTTTGTCACCATTTGAGGAGACATCGTCAGTGCATTTTGAATTGTGCTACTCTGTTAGAACACAGATTTTTAAATACCTTTATTTAAAGACCTGTATTCTGACAGATGAGCATAATTCTTTGGTCTTTGTAGATATTTTAATTTTTCCCAAATAAGTGCTTTAGATAATATTTTGTATGTCTTTTGAAAATTATACATAACTAAATAATTAAATAAACAAACAAACAAACAATAAAATAATAAAAGTTGTCCAACAAGCAGATGATATCAGGAGTGTGACCTTTCTTCTTTTTTCCCTCAACAAGCACAGAAATGGAATCGACGAATTGCAATTAATTTGGCATTCATGTAACTTAGATGGTTTGTTTGGTCTGAAGCAGAGGAAAACAATCAGTAGCCAAAGGTGCCTGGAGATCCTAATTCCCCTTTGCCAGCCTCATTGTTCTCCAAAAATCCCATCACCACAGACATCCCCAGTGGGCAGAAGTTGAGCACAATTGGCTTGGAAAAATATGGCTGTACTGTCCAATCTAAAGCCAGTTAATGAGATCATTCTGAGATGTTGCAGCTAATAGACAAAGCCAACTTGGCAATTCAAACATCTCTTCCAAAGCTCAGTTAGTCTTTATCCAGAAGTACTTACTCAGCATGGTTCCAGGACTGGTTTGAATGCATTTTTTCTCTTTTTATCAGAGGTGCCCAACTGGAGGATCCAGAGACTATACAATGTGTAGATCCTGACAGATTTCAGTCTAAAAAATTTTTGGGGAAAAATGCCAAACTGTGATTTCTACTTTGTTTTTTCTTTTTTCCTGAGAAATTCTCTGAGGATGGGCTGCAACACAAGTCTAAAACCTGGAAAAAATCAAGCTCTGATCTCTCTCTCTCTCTCTCTCTCTCTCTCTCTCTCTCTCTCTCTCTCCCTCAATCTACAAATTACATCTTTTCGGAATAGAGCTTTGATCCGGTCATCAATTTGTTTAACATCATCTTTAACAAAATTTTATATATTCTATTTTGCCATAACACTTATTTCTTAATCTTAAATCACATATTTCAACTAATACCATCTTAGAAAAAGTTTACTCATATTTACTTAATATAATTACCCTTCTATTAACCCACCTTAAATCTTAATTCAATTAATATCTCATAATACATTTCACAATTCTTCCCCTAAATCCTCACTGTTAACAATAAGTTCAAACATGTTTATATTACAAAATTATTTCCATTTCTAAAACTTCCTTACATTTATTTATTACTTCACGTAATGCTCATTAAATTTTTATTCCATTATTACTTTATCAAATTTAAATCTTATCTCTAATCTTAAAATATAGCAATTTAACATTTAAACATAGTTCTTAATTCAAATAGTGCTATTTAATACAGTTTCCCAATTATTTCCCTAAATTCTATCTATTTAACCATACCATTTATATAAACACCAATTAAGTAGTTTTTGTTTGTAAATCATAATCATATATTGTTTCAATTTTCTTTTCTTTTTTGCTTAAGTGAAAAATATTCAAATTATTACCATTGTTGTACGTATTTAAACAATACCCCAATTATTATAGTTATCAATTTTCTCAAATGATACCATTCAACATCTTAATGAAAATTGATTCATTATGTCCATTGATATATTTTCTTTTTACATAATCTAATTTAACTTTTTCTTTTATCATTCCACTGTTAATCCCAGTGTAATCATCTTTATTCCACTGTTAATCCCAGTATAATCATAGTAATAATCTTTATTTTTTCACTGTTAATCCCAGTATAATCTCTATAAACATTTAAACAGTATCCCAATTATTATAGCTATCAATTTCCTCAAATAATATCATCCAACATCTTAATAAAAGTTACTTCATCATATCCATTAATATATTTTCTTTTAACATAGTCTATTTCTCATATGTTTTAACTTCAATCCATATTTCATTTCTAAGTATCTGTAACATATTTCTTCTCACTTATATTGATCTCAATATAGTTTTATAAATCCAAGTCCTGGACTTCTTTTATTTTCCTTAATATTCACTGTTAATCCCAGTATAATCATCATTGTATTATTGTTAATCTCAGTATAATCTCTAGAGACCTCCTTTTTATTATTACTATTCTCATGTTCAGTTACTTATTCATATTTAATCACATTGTCTTTATCTTCTTTATTTTCCACCT